TGATATATATATATACACACATGTGTATATATATATATATATATATATATATATATACATATATATGTAATTTATCTCTATATTTCTCTCCCAAATGAGGTCTTGTATAATTCCTTGTACAAGGTACATATTTCATATATTTTTCTTGAATAAAATGACTTAATGTGACTTTTAATGAGCCATGCAGGAGACTGATGAAATAATTGGGATGGGGCTTCAAATGTCCACAGAGTACCAAAGTGAAACTATTTAGTAAAACTTTAGTTTAGTCAGGGGTTGGGTGTACATTTATCATGTTTACTTGCAATCTCTCCAAACAAGGAATTGTGAAGAAATCAATACGTATTATTTCCTATAACCGCTCTTGGAGATTAAGAGAATAAACCTTATAGCCTAGTACTTCAGTATTTGCCTAACACTGTACATACATACATCATGACAAAGACATTTATTTCTATTCGTTTTTAAATTAAAATCCTAAAATAAGCTTTTAAGTTTTTCTCCACTTGGTGTCTTCAGAAGTCTGTTTTGTTGAAGCTATAACTCTGGTCTCTCCTTCTTGTGCAAGCTTCACGTAATTCTAAGTAATAAGTATGATCTTCTCCCTTTGGCTCTTAGGTCCAGGGAGGCATGGGTTATGAAACCTACCTGTTTCTTCTGAGACTACTTGAAAAGAAGTCTTGAAAAAGCTGATTCAATCATGGTCTTCCCCTTAAAGTGTCAGTACCTTGCCTCTGACACAAAACTTTATTTTTCTTTGGGAAAATTGGGGGACTTACATCATTCCTGATTTCAAACCTGTGGTGATAAAATAACTATGTAGTTCAGGGGTCTGGGCTAGTTAATTATGATCTTGTTCAGTAAAGACATGATGTTTTCAAGGTTTGGTGTCTGCAGAAGTTCCTTTGTTATGCATAGAGAGAAAAACTAATCTGTGGTCACAGAATGAACTGCTAACCTTGGCTGGCCATCTGATAAATGTGAATCTTTGGTCACAAACGTGCAAAATGGGAAAACCATTGATAGTGGATCAGTTTTCTCATCTTCATGAGGGAGGGACGTAGAATATTCAAAGTGAGGAAGAGCCTTCCTTCCTGACTTTCTCTCTCACCAGTAGGAAATTATGTGCCAAGATATTTCCATCTCTCTTTGAGTACAGTGCAGTCAACAAACTGGGAATGAAAAGAGTGTGACTGGGTCAAGCATTATTGAAGTAATTCCACTGAATTCATTGAAATTACACTAACAGCCACTGCTTAAGGAATCCAGCTGATTGATGTCGCTTCTTTAGGGATTCAGTCAGCAGAGTCATAGGAGTGCCTAAAAAAACAAAACAGGGCTTCCCCGCTGGCGCAGTGGTTGAGAGTCTGCCTGCCGGTGCAGGGGACACGGGTTCGTGCCCCGGTCCGGGAAGATCCCACATGCCGCGGAGGGGCTGGGCCCGTGAGCCATGGCCACTGAGCCTGCGCGTCCGGAGCCTGTGCTCCGCAACGGGAGAGGCCACAACAGTGAGAGGCCTGCGTACCGAAGAAACAAAAACAAAAACAAAAACAATAATCTCATCTCCACTAGGGAAGATCCTTCATATAATCATGACAACAGGAAATATGTTGGCCTTAGGTTCAGATTATATCAAATGGTTTATCTTGTCATCTAAACTGATTCTGAACCAGTCAGCTTTGCTCTCTCCTGCCTCCAAGTTCTGTCTCTTTTTCTGCAGGATTAGTCACATTTGCTTTTCTGGTTCTGTAGCTTTTTCCTGAACCAGAGCTATAGATATCTTAGTGCCAGATAAGAGAGACGTAATTTCACTGTAATGTCCTATTTTTTTTTTAAAGTTCCAAGAATTTTATACACAGTATCAAATGTGACTGAAACGAAGTTTGCTCATGTTTTTACTGGTGGTGTTTGTTTAGAGATGGAAACATGGAGGAAGAAGGGCCTGGAATCCATAGCACTATGAAAGACTGTCTGTTCATTTGTCTGACTTCCCTCTAATCTGTACACTCCTCCAGAGCAGGATATACACTTGCACTTGCTTCTGTATTCCCAGCGCCTTTTTTAGCGCCTGGTACAACAGTGAATGCTGCTAGAAGAAATAAACTGTACAGAAGAGGAAGATAGGCAATAGACTTTGAGATGTTTTGCAGGGCATAGAAGACATAAAGGGGACAGGGATGCCATCTATTAGTTTCTTAAGAGTGGACAATTGGAGTGGACTTAAGAGTGGTTTTCTCTGTATTAACCATAGACAGGAGAGTCCAGAGTCAGGACCAACAAGAGTTTGTTCATGAAAAAAGTTTTGTTTTGAGGGTCTAATGCTTTCTAAAACTATCATCAAAGCTTATATAGCAGCTCCATCTCCTAATGTGAGTGAAGTATTTTGAGAAGGTTGAGAGGAAGTCAGCGTTAGAATGTGATTATTATCATTCATTTCAAGTAGACAGATTAGGCCATGCATTTTCCAGCACTGCAGGCTCATTTGCCCTGTGTATCTTTCTCTAACCTTCTCCCCGGTTGGGAAGAAATAATTCCCCTGTGTTAGGATAGCCCTTTGTACATCTCTTGTCATAGCACTGCTACACTTATACGTATTTCACTTGCACTAAATCAAGATCCTTGATGGAAGGGGAAATGGAAAGGAAACTAAGGGTTAATTGAGTTATTATTCTGTCAGACATAATACTAGATTTTTAAAATACTCTGTATTTTGTTTTAATCACTTAATTATATAGGTACTATTTCCCCATTTTTCACATGAAAAACTAGAGGTTAACAATGGAGAGATAGATATACCATGTTCTTGGATTGGAAGAATAAACATTGTAAAAATGACTATACTACCCAAAGCAATCTACAGATTCAATGCAATCCCTTTCAAACTACCAGTGGCATTTTTCACAGAACTAAAACAAAAATTTCACAATTTGTATGGAAACACAAAAGACCCCAAATAGTCAAAGCAATCTTGAGAAAGAAAAACGGAGCTGGAGGAATCAGGCTCCCAGATTTCTGACTATACTACAAAGCTACAGTAATCAAGATAGTATTGTACTGGCACAAAAAACAGAAATATAGATCAATGGAACAGGATAGAAAGCCCAGAGATAAACTCACGCACAAATGGTCACCTTATCCTTGATAAAGGAGGCAAGAATATACAGTGGAGAAAAGACAGCCTCTTCAATAAGTAGTGCTGGGAAAACTGGACAGTTACATGTAAAAGAATGAAATTAGAACACTCCCAAACACCATACACAAAAATAAACTCAAAATAGATTAAAGACCTAAATGTAAGGCCAGACACCATCAAACTCTTAGAGGAAAACATAGGCAGAACACTCTATGACATAAATCCCAGCAAGATCCTTTCTGACCCACCTCCTAGAGAAATGGAAATAAAAACAAAAATAAACAAATGGGACCTAATGAAACTTCAAAGCTTTTGCACAGCAAAGGAAACCATAAACAAGATGAAAAGACAACCCTCAGAATGGGAGAAAATATTTGCAAATGAATCAACGGACAAAGGATTAATCTCCAAAATTTACAAGCAGCTCATGCAGCTCAATATCAAAAAGACAAACAACCCAATCCAAAAATGGGCAGAAGACCTAAACAGACATTTCTCCAAAGAAGATATACAGATGGCCAGCAAACACATGAAAGAATGCTCAACATCACTAATCATTAGAGAAATGCAAATCAAAACCACAATGAGGTATCACCTCACACCAGTCAGAATAGCCATCATCAAAAAATCTAGAAACAATAAATGCTGGAGAGGGTGTGGAGAAAAGGGAACCCTCTTGCACTGATGGTAGGAATGTAAATTGATATAGCCACTATGGAGAACAGTATGGAGGTTCCTTAAAAAACTAAAAATAGAACTACCATACAACCCAGCAATCCCACTACTGGGCATATAACCTGAGAAAACCATAATTCACAAAGAGTCATGTACCACAATGTTCATTGCAGCTCTGTTTAGAATAGCCAGGACATGGAAGCAACCTAAGTGTCCATCAACAGATGAATGGGTAAAGAAGATGTTGCACATATATACAATGGAATATTAGCCATTAAAAGAAACAAAATTGAGTTATTTGTAGTGATGTGGATAGACTTAAAGTCTGTCATACAGAGTGAAGTAAGTCAGAAAGAGAAAAACAAATACCGTATGCTAACACATATATATGGAATCTAAATTAAAAAAAAAAAGTTCTGAAGAACTAGGGGCAGGACAGGAATAAAGATGCCGACGTAGAGAATGGACTTGAGAACACAGGGAGGGAGAAGGGTAAGCTGGGACGAAGTGAGAGAGTAGCATGGACATATATACACTACCAAATGTAAAATAGATAGCTAGTGGGAAGCAGCCACATAGCAAAGGGAGATCAGCTTGGTGCTTTTTGACCACCTAGAGGGGCGGGATAGGAAGGGTGGGAGGGAGGGAGATGCAAGACAGAAGAGATATGGAGATATATGTATACGTATAGCTGATTCACTTTGTTATAAAGCAGAAACTAACACACCATTGTAAAGCAATTATAATCCAATAAGGATGTTATTAATTAATTAATTAAAGAGAGGTTAACAGAAACTGACCAGTAGTCAGTGGTGTTTCCAGGATTCCTAGATCTTACTGACAGCAGTCATTACTTTTTCTTCATAGTTCATATATATCAGGAAACCTAATGTGGGTGCCCTCCTTGTTACTCATTGACACTTGACAACCCTTTCCCACTTGTTTTTTTCCCAAAACACAAGCTCTCAAATGTCAATTAATAAATGAGAAAGGGATGATGAAATTAGAAAAATTTATGAACACAGTAGTAGTAACAATTTCAGGCAAGAATTGTCAATTGATCTAAAACTAGTGGATGAGGATTTCCAAGTCAGCTTAGGATGTAGAAAGTGGCAAGTAAATGTCACTACTGTCTTAACAATGAGAAAATGTTAGGTAATTGATAAAATCATAAATTTTCTTGAAACCATAGGAGAGCTGAGACTGCAAGGTAAACCAGCTGAATTCCAATGCATGGCATACGGCTCTGAGAAGAGATGAATCTAAAGAACGATTTCATTTCTGACAGAACATTAGAAGAAGGTATTGCTGTCATCACAGCAGGTAAAGAGGAAATCAGCTACCAAATACTCAAAATCAATGTGTAGGAGAGCTTATTAGTTTAGAATGAGCGCGAAAACCTAGACACAAGGAGAGTTCACGCTAACTCACAAGTTCTATTCCACAGGTCTCCAGAGGTGTTCCTGTGTAAGACTGGTTGCAGGGCTGAAGGCAGCACAGAGACCCCTTGGTGAAACTAGTGTGCAGGTGTTCAGTTAGTGATTGGTTGTCATTGGGGCAAAGTTGCAAATTTTGTACTCATTTCCTTGGAAACACGTCTCACATAGAACACAATTCTAACCCACCGGGGGAGGGGCAGTACCCCTTCCGACGCACAGGGCCCAGGGAAAGGTCCTCTACTTACGTGAAAGTGATGATGTAAAAGCTCTTTGTTCCCGAGGAAAATTAGGAAATTCTCCCATCCCTGGAACCTAGGAAAAAATATCCTCTCCTTCTGGGAGAAGGGTATCTGCCTCTGAGAAAGGTGAAAGAAAAACTTCTGGACCCTGGTTCCTGGACTGATACAAAGCAGAGTTCAGCTACTACTGGGAGATGGGTAGGAAACTCTTTCCTGTCCAAGAGTTGACACTGATAGAAAAAAAAAACAAAAAACCGTGGAGGGGAGCAGGAATGCTGAAAACTTGTGGCTCCAAGGCCAGGCATATAGGGCCTGCCTAAGACAGAGGCATGAAGTTTATTCACGGTAATTAATCATAGTAATGACATTCTACGTTATGATCCTTTTCTAATCACTTAATTCACATGATGCTATATGGCCAAAGTGTAAGCCTTGATTGTGATTTTCAGAATCCATTAGACATGCAGAAATTACATTCAGAGTCCATAATCACACTGACCCACCCTCAGTCATCTTATTTACATTCCACTCTACCCTATACAACACAAGCTCTAACAAGCCTTCTAGGTTTTAAACATCACACGTTCTGTGAGGAGGTCTTTCCTTATCACTCTAGGCTGAATTAATTTTTCCCTCTATTCTAGAAAATGATAATGTTTATGACATTGCACTAGAATGACCTTAATTTTGCAAAGCTGAGGCTGATCCAAAGCCTATACATTTACAAGCTCTAGTATTCAAATGTAGTATTCAAATACTATCTCACCACAAAAACACTCAGTACCTTCTGCCTCTTGTAAAATTCTTATCCCCATTGAACTCTTCTGGAACCACAAGTAAGCTGAGAAATAAAGTTAAAATATATTTATGTTAGTGTTTTCACTTTGATTTCTTTGGGATCATAAAATAAGCTGGGCTTCCTTTTGTATCCGGTTTTCACTACTCTAGACAAGCGGAAATGAAATTACTTTGTCCAAATAAATAACGCTGCCAACTTACAAAATGAGTATATACTTTTTATACTGTTTGGATATTGATATCCCTATCCAGAAAACTGCCTACTATAGCATGACAACAAGATATATGGAAACAAAAAAAAAAAACAATCTGAAAACAGATTGCTTGGAACAAAAGCAAAGGTTGTTGGCTCAGACTGCTGGGTATTTTATTTAAACCAATGTTTCACAAACTCTGTCTGTGTTTGTCAAGCTGATAATAGGTTTCCCCTGAAATGAATAATTTCCTGGTGAAATGCATTGGGGAAATGATGCACAGTGTGATTTACAACACAAATTAACAATTTCAAAGTTTTTGAGAAGTCCTATGGAAAAGAAATCCATTATTCTTAAATACCTATTTAAACGTCTCTCAGATCACTAACATTTTCAGATCAGTTTGGGAAATTTTGACTTCGACTATTTTCACAACTCTTCCTAGGCATGTTTTCCTTTTATAAATCAATACTGTGTCTTTTTGGTTGCATAGTACTGAATCCACTGTAGCTAATGCAAAGAGAAAGAAATTTACTAATGTGTGTTAAATGACTTACAGAAATCTGGGAATAAATTATGTAACAGACTTTAGGCTGAACTTTTAACAATGACTCCCAAAGCTTCAGCATAGAACTGTGCCTCAGGACTTCCCTGATAGTCCGGTGGTTAGGGCTCCACGCTTCCACTGCAGGGGGCATGGGTTCGATCGCTGGTTGGGGAACTAATATCCCACATGCAAAAAAGAACCCCCAAAACTGTACCTCTACATGCTGCTGCTTCCATCATGATCAGGAATCTTCCTGTTGAATCAAGAAGATGCTGCTACAGCCAATTCTATAACCTCTCTGCTCTGCTGAGTCACATCAGCAGAACAAATCCCTCACACCTGGCTTTTATTATATTAAACCAATTTATTTTTTATTTTTATTTTTTAACATCTTTATTGGAGTATAATTGCTTTACAATTGTATTAGTTGCTGCCGTATAACAAAGTGAATCCGCTATACGTATACATATATCCCCATATCCCCTTCCTCTTGTGTCTCCCTCCCACCCTCCCATCCCACCCCTCTAGGTGGTCACAAAGCACCGAGCTGATCTCCCTGTGCTATGCGGCTTCTTCCCACTAGCTATCTATTTTACGTTTGGTAGTGTATATATGTCCATGCCCCTCTCTCACTTCGTCCCAGCTTACCCTTCCCCCGCCCTGTGTCCTCAAGTCCATTCTCTACATCTGCATCTTTACTCCTGTCCTGCCCCTAGGTTCTTCAGAACCAATTTTTAATTTTTTTTAGATTCCATATATATGTGTTTAAATGCTCCTTTCTTAAAGTTTTGTTTTTTCTAAGTCCCCAAACTAAATTAGACCTCACTGTTATTCTCTCTCATAGCATATTATATCTCTCTACCATAGCTCTTATTTTAGTACATAACTACTTAGGTATTTAATTACTATCTCTTCTACTAAAGTACTGTGGGAATAGGAACCATATCTGTTTTGCATCCCTTAAAGAAATGCCTAACTCACACTAAGTCAGTGCATACTTTTGAATCATTTTGAATGGGTGGAAGGATGGCTGGATGGATAAGAGTGACTGAGTACGTAAAAGGGCAGATGAGCAGAGAGCCTTAAATCTTGGGACATGACTAAGAAAAACAGGGTGATAGATTTAGCTGGCCATATCTTTTCCCAAGATGACTGGTTCTAGAATTTCTTTCATGGAAGTGTCTGTGCTCTGGTGAGTGGTGGAGAGGGTGAGGGATTGCACTCTGGCCAATATGTGTAATCTGCAAGGCAACTCTTACCATGCCTCACATATAGTAGGTGCTTAATATATCGTTGTTATGGAAGGAATGCCAGTGCATACATGTAAAAGACTGAGCACTCTGCAGACGCATTTTGCCCTATAGGTGTTACTGTTAATTATCAGAATCTATTTTAATTTAATTAAGTTATATAAACATTTTTGATACCCTTGCATTTTGTTTAACTACAAAAGTCCCTAGAGTAGGCAGGAGACCTTGAAACCTGAAAAGGCTCTGTCTCCTCCAATCTTTATTTAATCAGAAGCAACCTAGATTCCATGTTAGTGTAACGCTGTACAGAATAAAATGACAATGATAGAAGTACTTTCAACTAGGGCCATAACATTAACTCGTAAAAAAAAAAAAAAAAAAGCGCTTCAAAGCTTCAAAAAAATGAGGGCATGAAATATTTTTAGTTGTCTTTATTCTTTATTTGAGCTCCAGATTTTAATTCCATGTGCTAACTTGGTAACTTTTCGCTTCTTAGAAACACGTAAGGAGCAGCAACTTCAAAGCTGTAAATCCACTTCCTGAAAAGCGAATTTGGAAACAAGATCTATACAAAGATGAGCATTACATACAATGCAAGAGTTTGGTATATTTATTTTTTTCAGCTTCATGTATGATGAAAAAAAATCTGTGTATCTGAAATACACAAAACATGGTAAAGACCACTTAGTTTGCTGTGGACCCTCAATTTCTGAATCTTTTGTCCAGTTTCCCTCCTGCTTACATGCATAATTTGTCACATGTTTCTCTCTATTTGCTTAAACCAGATGCCCATGGGGCTTTCCTGCAGTATTTAGGAAAGAGGAACGCTTACAGAATTGTATTTGGCTCTATCAAGCAATGTTTTGGTGGAAAATGACCAACAAGTTTAATTTCTCTCAAATGGGAATCATTCTGCCTCACTTCCTGGGAAGGAAAGCTATATAAAAAAAAAAGGAGTTATGAACTGGGCTCTTAATGGTAATGGAAAACACACAAAACTTTAACTTCAATTTTATTCTACTTTGTAATAATAATCCTTTGTATTTGTGTAACATGATAGAGTTCATATAGTACTTCCATATTTACTGAGATGTATTTTGTGCTTGCTTATACAGGATTCTTTCTCGTTAAAAAAGAACTTCTGTGTGTTTCTACACATTAGTTTAAGTCTTTTCACCATCTCCTTTTGGCATGAGAATCTCAGAACTTTTCTGACGAGAACACATTTATTGGATCTGTGCCATGAACACATGTGCTCAGTACAATTAAGAATTCACACGCACACACACACACACACACACACACACACTCTTAAGAAAAAACATCTGCTCATGATCCAGAATTCAATACAAAGAGAGGACAAGTGCATAGACACCCACAATAAAAGGGAAATGTGGTAATATGTGAAAGGATTGATAAAAATGCCAAAGAAGTTCTGAGCAGAATAGATGTTAGCATTTAGGATTCTTGAGTATCTATTATACATTAGATACTTTGCACTTTTATATACTAGGTTTGAATAGTTACCATTATTATGTAAAACAACTCTTATTTCCATTTTGACAATGAATTAAAAAGGTCCTCAAAGTTCTTGAGTTCACAATCCAAGATTAAAATCAATAAATGGAAGATCTAGAATCAAAAAGCATGTCTACAGCCCAGGTGTTTGGTTATTATGGAAAAGCTTCCCAGAGAAGTGTCCTTTGAACCAAGCTGAGCCTTGAAGAGTGAATAGGATTTTGAATAGACAAAGAAACGTTCAGAGGAAACCAACTACCTGAGCACAAGTGTAAATAAGACCACAGGCAGCTGGAATGGATCTCAGTAGAGGGAGTGAACTCAAGCATAAAGGGGAGTTCTTGGCACAGAGCTGAGAGTTGATGGGGGAACCTGAACGCTAGTGTACAACTGAGAATGATGCCAAGAATAAGATAAAAAGGAAGACTGGGCGCTAAGTGTGAAGGAAATTAAGAAGGTGGGGGCATGAACTGACTTTCAGAAGGAGAAATGAGAGATGTCATTATATGAACTGATCTTGAAAAATTCCCATGTCTCTGTTTTTATCTTATATTCAAAAATATTCTGGTACCTGACTTTTGCCTTGTGTGTCAGAGACTGAAAATGGTCACCAGTAGCTTTATTATCCTTATCTCCAGGACATACAACTTCTTTATTCACTTCCCCTGGCAATTAGATTAAAACCAATGATAAAGTTCTGGCCAGTAAAGTTTGAGTGGAAGCGATGAGCAGTACTTCCAGGCCTGGCTCATTAAATCCTTCCATGTCTAATCCTAGCATTTTTACTGCATCCATTGGATGAATGAAGAGAACTTCAAAGGCCTGCAGGAGAGACAAGATAAAAGGATCTTGGGTACCTGAGTGACTGTGTGGAGCAGAGACCATCCATTGACCTGCACTTCAATGTCAAGTGAGAAACAAACTCTATTTTGAGGTAAGTCACTGGAATTTGGGGATTGTTTCTTTCAACAGTTATCCCACCCTGATATGCCGGGCTGAATAATTTGTGACGATCATTATCTCTGACTTGGACCCTGATTGTCCGCTGCTATTCCCAACAGACTGAACAGTGTTGGAGAAATTGTGCAGCCTTGTTGAATAATGCCTCAACAGGGCTCCCAGTGTTGCCATGGAATCCTTCTGTGTTCTGGTCATGAACTCCTTCCTTTCATGGCTTAATTTAAAGTTTCATCTTTCTCCTTAGGATTTTCCTGCTTCTACTCTCAGCAGATGAATTAGCTGTCTCATCTTTAGTTAAGTGCTTATTCAAGACTCATAACCATTTTTGCTTTTTTTCATGTTAACTTAAGCAGTTCTTTATGTATTAGAGATATAAGACCATTATGGATATTAGGTATAAAATGGCTAAAATTTTAAAAGACCAACTAAACCAAAAGTTGACAAAGATGTGGAAAAACTGGAACTCTCATATACTCTTTGTGGGAATGTAGAATGGTACAATCACTTTGTGAAACTGTTTGGCAATGTTTTTAAAAGTTCATCTATCATATAATCCAGATATTCTACTCCTGGGTAGTCACTCAGAGGTCCAAGAGGAAATCTCCAATAGTATTATGGCCAAAAAGAGGTCTTCCACTGTGGATTTTCTGTGGTTTGTGGTGGGGAATGACACGTAAACATTTTTCTCTATTTTTCCCTTGAAACCTTCAGTAAGGTCTGTGTCAGTCACTAGTTATTGTGTGTAAGTTGTTTTTTTTTTTTTAAAGAAGACTGCTGATAATTTGGTTAGAGTAACAACATCTCTTGACCCCTTACCTTGGTTCAGGTACCACACTATGCACATTCACATATGTTACCTTTTTCAAATCTTACAGTCATCGTGAACGGTAATTATTATTCCCCTTTTAGAGATTAAAAAACATGTGCCCCATAGTAAAACCAAAATGAAACAGATAACAGAAAACTTGCTAAGAATAACATACTGGAAGATCCCAACACTTGCCCTCTACCCTCCAATTAAAGATAAAGCTGCTTATTTTTACCTCTGCTTGGAACTTTGACCATATTTTTATTTCTATTTTTGACCAGTCAGTTTCCAGTTAAGTATTAGTGAGAACTTACTGTGGGCTAGGCTTGAGGTAAAAAAAAAAAAAAGGGGGGGGGGGGGGGGGAATAGACATGGTACCAACATTCAGTGCTTTAAAGAAGACGGGGCCTAAAAAGATATTCCCTGGATGACTGTAGTGAAAGTCAAGACAGAGTCCAAAGGAACACAAAGGGTCTTGATGGTGTGATAGAAGCAAGTCTTTGCAGAGGAAGTGACACTTGAGCTGAGTCATAAAGATATGCAGATGCAGAAAAAAGGTAAGGGAAAGGGGCACCGAGCCACTTCTACTAGAGGGACTAGATGGTACAAAGGCATTGAAATGAGGAATCACAAAATCATCAGCGAATAGCAGGTAGCTCAGAATGGCTGGAGCATGCAGCAGAGATCAATGCCTGGGGCCCAGGGATGAGCCTGGGGTGTAACAACAGACGGTGCGACTTCCTGAGAAACTACTCTCATGCCTAGCAACCAACTGAACCCCAAATTGCACTCAGTCTCCTGGACTTTACCCACAGGAATTTTCCAACCATTTTTTTCCCTCTAAGATATACAATATGGAACTCAGTACTCTGTTTTTCATTTCTTTTTAATATGCTTATACTCATTTTAAACCAGAGGACAGATGATTTCATGGGGCAGGACTTATGTGGACAAAGATTGCTAATATAAGTGATTTTGTCCACAATTCTGCAGGTTCTTTAATGTGATTTGATCACCTTCTCCAGGGATGAGCAGGCCCTAGAGGCTCTAGAGGACAAACCTCACACTAAAAATACTTCACTACTGGGCTTCCCTGGTGGCGCAGTGTTTGAGAGTCCGCTTGCCGATGCAGGGGACGCAGGTTCACACCCCGGTCCGGGAGGATCCCACGTGCCGAGGAGCGGCTGGGCCCGTGACCCGTGGCCGCTGAGCCTGCGCGTCCGGAGCCTGTGCTCCGCAACGGGAGAGGCCGCAGCGGTGAGAGGCCCGCGTACCGCAAAAAAAAAAAAAAAAAGTAAAAGTACTTAACTACTGAACTGACAAATTAAATGGCAATTTATTCATTTATAGCATAGGAATGCCTCTCCATTAGCCAGAATGCCAGATCTGGACATGCTGAGTAAAGGGAATATCATTTAGTGAAGAACCACTCATTAATGGGCACTTCCTGGTATTATTTCAATTACTTGTCACCACAACTCTGTGATGTAGTTCTTACTTCATCCCAATTTTATAAATGAAGAATTTAAATGAGAAACTTTAAACGACCTACCTTGATCTCATAGCTAATAAGTTTTGGAGCTTAGATTCAAATCTAATGCTTTGATTTCTACCCCATGCAATGGGCAAGGTGTACCCACACTGCCTGGAAAAAAAAGTGATGATGATGGCGATTTAACTAAAATGATTATAATTTATTGGATGTTTACTTTGTGCTGAATACTTTCACATGCATTATTTTATGTAACCTTAACTCTATTAAGTGAGAAACTATTTCCATTTTAACAATGAGGAAACTAATGTTCAAAGGTTTAAATAACTTTCCTAACCTTCAAACCTGGTTAATTGGTGGGGCAGGTATTCAAACCAGGTCTCCCTGCCCACAAAGTACTTTTTACTGACAGTCAAATACTGGTAAGACTATTTGGTGAATGAGAGTCAGATTGAAGAGAATTTATTACTTGATAGAACATTCCATCTAGGGTGTGGTAGAGGATAGAAAACCACTGATGTTCTCCTAGTAGGGACTGATCATGTGTGTTCATAACTTGTAGCAATAGACATTGAATATTTAATACTATTATTTTTTGTTTTTGTTAATAATTCTTATTAGTCACAAAAAACTTCTGTCACTATCCTTATTCATGGTAGAGTATACATTATTATGTTCATTTTATATTGTCTCACGTTTTTCTGAGGATAAATTTTAGGAATTGAAAAAGAAATGAAGTGCCTCAAACCTGAGGAAAAGCATAATTACTTTTTGATTAACATACTTGAGCAATCTTTCATTACTAATTGGTAGTATATCTGATTAATTCCCAGGTCAGTGAAATTAGAGTTTAGCCTACAAAAATGGATATACGTATGATAGTTTTACAAATTTAAACCCTTTAAACAATCTTGGGACTAGATCAATAAACTTTTTTTAGAATTCCTTTCTAGCATCTAGACTAACAATCTCATCAAGACCGTGTTTTTGTTTTGTTTTATTTCTGTCAATATAAAGATTCTCTTTGTGGAAGCAAGATTTGAACAGGCTTCCTTTGAAGTTAGCACCCATGTGGCAAGTTTCAAATAAACCTAGACCTTTGCTCAAAATCAATGCATCTGAGAACTTTCCTTTAACATTCCTTTGTCTCTTGAACCTGGACTCCTTGAGGAAGGGTTTGTTTCTTTCCACTACAGCCCAGTCATCTGGTATGAGGTTAGGTACAAAAGAATGTGCTGTCTAAATGTCAGTTGAATAAATGAATATTTGAATGAATCTACCAACTGTGGACTTTGTTTTATTTTTACATTGCTTACTTCTTTTGAAAGATATCCCAGGTGAGCTTTCTCATCCACTTATTTTTATTCCTTTGCAAAAAGTGTCCTTTGGGACCTCTTCGCCAGATCTCGAAGGCGTGCCCTATCCCGTCTGGCTTGGCGTTTTCTAGGCTCTGGTATTTCCTCACCAGTCTGGGACGCTGTACCTCCCCCCACTGCCAACCCCACCCCCAATCAATTCACATCATTTTTGACAATAGAGTTTCCAAACCCCCTTCCACTATGCATGATTTTCTTTTCCCCTTAAACTTGAAAAGGATGGTGAAAATTTAGGCAACTTAGAGAATATTTAAAACAAAAGAGAAGTAGTGGAAGGTCGAGAAAAGGTCACTATAGTTAGCGAGAAGAGTGTGACTCATTAAAAAACAAAGCCACATTAACTGACAATAAAACAAATCAGGAGAAAAATCATGAGACCATTTTGGATGGCTGAGTGAGACAATACCAGAGATGCAAGTGATGAGAATAGGAGGTTAATCAGAAAAGACTACTTTTGAGGTGAAGAAATTTACAAGAAATTTACCTCCCTCCTGGAGGGAGGTCTGGGCCTGCTTTGCCCTGGCTGGCTCTGTGACTTATGTGCACATGACCCTCATCTTTTAAATAAGGATATTGGACCAAATGATATATAAGATCCTTTCCAATTCTAACATTTTATTGAGGGCTAGAATTTTCTAGCAGATTAAATGGATTCTTATGTTTTAAGTCCCCATGCCTATTTAGTCTCACATAATTTGATTGCTCTTTGTATTTTCTTCCTCATTTAATCCACATTTATTGAGTGGCTGCTTGATATTTGAACAGTGTTTTAGGCAGTGGGCATACAAAATGGGGAAGATAAAATTACTGCCATCTTCCACCTCACAGGCTGGGTGGCCACAGCTTTATAAACAGCAACAAGGCAATTGGAGCAGAAGCTATGGCTCGGGGAGGGAAGCCAGGATGGAGACAAAATGAAAAAGACAAGGGCAAGAGAAAACATTTTACAATATCCTGAGATACAAATAAGTCCACCACTTAAAAAAAAAAACAGTAAAGATCGGTTATGATTTTTACTTTTACTCCTTCATTTTATGAGGATGGTTAGTGCTGACTGTATGACCGTGGCTACTTAGAAGGTTAATGAGAGATTCACTGGACTTTCCACACCGCCTATAAAGGGGATGGTTGATTTTTGTTTTATTGGTGTGGTCACTACCAAGCCCTGTCTATAGATCTGTGTTAACTGCACAATTGCTGCTTGAAGATCTTACAGGTTGCTCAGTGATTCCTCATAGAGCTTGATGCTGACATGAGAATTAGAATTGCAGATGGCAACCCTGAGAATAGAAGAGCCT